CTCTATAATACATATCATGTGGCAAATGTGTATGTACTATTTATTTATTTACTGTTTTTATTCCCTCTGGATTGTAAACACCATGAGAGCAGGGACTTGGTTTCACTTATGGTGTATAATATAACTTCTGTCCCCCATGTCTAGCACAGTGCCTAGCACATAGTAGGTGCTGAATAAATACTTGTTGAATGAAAGATCTAAATAAAATGTTGCACAGCCAGTCTTCTAAAACCCAAGCTTCTGGCATAGTTTGCTCATAAAGATAGCATGCCTTTGCAAGCCATTCAATCACTCCAGCTAAATCTTTCTTATATTCGATCTTGCTTCCTGGGTTACCTTTTTCATCATTGTCACCCTTGCCACCACCCATGCCAGAAAGCAATGGTGATGTTTGGAAAAGCATATTGGCTGGTGGTAGAGGCATTATGAAGTAATTCCTTATTGTGGGAAACCATGGGAGAAGAAGAGTACCAGATGATGGTAACCTCCAATACTTGTAATGCAGTTGTTCCAAGGGCAATTATTTCATAGCCCTTCAGTGAATACCTGCTTATGCAAGGGCTTCAGAAAAGAATAAGAAATAGTCCTGATTTCAGTCTGATGGTAGAACCAAATAGATTGAGTAACATATGGCAAAACTCCATCAGCAAAGAGAGTAAGAACTTTTGCCCGAAATTGCTGAGAGAAAGGCAGAGTTTTGGGGTGTCTTACCAAGTAGATGGTGTTTGGGCTAGGTTTTCAAGAATGAATAGAAGTTTGGCTTGTGGTAAATGGGAAAAGGGGGTATAAAAGCATTTTGGACAAAGGAACCGGCACCAGTCAGGGTATAGAAGTGTATGCTAGAGATACTAAACATATTTAAGAGTAGGTCATATGCAGACATCAACCAATCCAAATGGACATCCTGACCAAGCAGAGTGAACATTAGCCTTAGACAAATTGGTATGGCCATACCAGTGCACACCACTTGATAATTAGCTCTAGAAAGAAACCAGAGTGTTGCATAAATGCTGAGTAGTCTGGAATAGCTAATATGAAAGTAATAATAATAACTGACACAATGCATACTGTGAGCCAAACACCATGCTTTGGGTGTATGATCTTATTGAATCCTCCCATCAGTCCCTATAGAGTAGAAAACTGTTGCTACTTCCATTTTGCCAATGGGAAAATTGGGTATCAGAAAGATAAAGTCACTTGCTTAAGGTCACCCATCTCAGAAATAATAGAACTGAGATTTAGACCTGTACAGACTAACTCCAGAACTTTACTCTTAACTAAGGTATACTGCCTTGAATAGTGGCTAGAACATAGGTTTGCCTCTTTAACATTGTGGGGATAAACAAAGAGGTAAAATAGATTGACTTTTTTCTTATAGAAATTAGTGTCCGGATGAGGAAACAAGACTCTTAGCCATGAAATTTAAGGGAACATTTCAAGGACTGTCCCATGGTAACATATGACACTTGCCCAATGAATGAGATATTTAGTGAATGTCATGGTTTTTCACCAAAGCTGAAGTGGCTATGGAAGAAATAGAACGTGAGCTTGACTGTGAGGGGTATGGAATAATGGGAAGAATATTGCCATATATATTAAAATATATATGGCAATATTATTTTACATATAATAAAAAATGCTAGAGTTTACTTGATAGCAATGTGACACAGGCCAAACTAATTTCCTTCTTATTCTCACCTGAAAATGGGTGATTTGAGTTAGACCAGTAGTTCTTAACAGAGGTACTCCCCAGGAGGTATTTTGGAAATTGTGAGGCCATTCTTGCTTGTCAAAATAATTTGGGGTGGAGTGGTACTTGTTAGATGGCAGCCAGGAATGATAGATACTCTATATACTACAAATAATTGTCCTGCATCCTGCCCTATATTTGGAAGACCCCTGGATATTCATGGAAGTGAAAACTGTTTATAATTATCTGAGTCTATAACAGAACCACAGTTTACATATAGAAATTTTTTTAATGGTTTTATTGGTACTGATTGAAACTACTCACTAAATGAGGGGAAGATTGTACTTTTATTCAGATTGACACCATGAGTTATTTACCATTTGAGACTCACTGCACTAAGCAATGGCACTCATGGTACCATTGGGTCAACAATACCATATCTCAGTGTCATTCTGTGTCAGCAATCTGTCACATTTGTAATGATCCTGCATAGAGCTGTTAGCCTCTGCCTACAACTTCATTCCATCTTCTAATATAGCCATGTATAGCTTTTCACATTGAAATATATATTGTTTCATTATAAATTAGTTTCCTTTTGTTTGTTTGCTTATTTGCAATGCAGTTAGGGCATAATATGTGTTTTTAAATTTTTTGCTTACATCTTTATTATAATTTATCAACATGAAATTCTTTTCAGGATAGCAAGAAAGAGTAATAAATAATTGTAATAAAAATAATGCACTGGTCTTAGAGAGTTAATAACCACTGTATTAGATGATTTCCCAAAGCCTTTGATGTTTTAATTTTTCTGTGGGTATAAGAAGGATTGAATTTTAAGAGGAAAGGGAGAGCATTCCAAGGTGGGAATGACACCAGCCATGTGACCTGGACAAGCAGGGGGTAAGTGTCTCCAGACAAGCCAGGATAAGGCAGAGGCTTCCTCAGGGTCTAGTCTGGTCATGCTCCCTGGAAGCTACTCCTTCATCCCTCCCACCTCACTGTAATTGAAGACTCCTGGGGAAACTGCCAGAGCTGGCATTGCAGGAAATTGCCCTGTGGCCAGTGGAGCTTCTCTGGTTACTTTCCTCAGTGACAGAAAACAGTGATGGCTTCCTGTCTGTTAGTTGGGTATCTTTGCCTCCTTGTTCTGACGAATTCCTAAGAAACTTTAGCTTCTGCTCCTTACGTTTTTACTCAACTCCTGTTTCTGGAATTTTTTTGTCCTGTCTTATCCAGTCCCCTTGCCTCCAGCCTCCTTGCTCCATGCTAGATATCTAGAAATGTTTAGTCTAGGATAGACCAGTTTTATGGAAAGCCCAAACAAACACTGGAAGTAAGACATATCTCTGAATAAATGCCACTTCAACTTTGCAACACCTGTTGAGTTCTGTGCCTTAAAGGAGCCTACTTTTATCATTTAATTGCATGTAATAATTTTTTTTCTTCTTACTAATTATACATGCTCACTGAAGACTGTTTGGAAAACACAGCAATGTTTAGAGATGCAAATACAAATTATTCATAATACCAAGAAGTATAATACTCAGCATTAGACAAGGTAAAGATTAAATTCAGTGCTGCCCTTTCTGTTCTCTATTCTATGCCAGACCCCAGCTTTCTTCTCCCAGAGCACCTCTTGATCTCACCCTTATGAAAACTTACCTGTCCTATATACCATCAAATGGAGGGCAAACTGGAAAGTGTACAATAGCACTTACCATGTCAAAGGCATATGAGAAAGATAAAATATCTCACACAAGGAAGGTGTTTTGAATCTAAAATAGCAATATTTTGTCAGAGCTCTGCCATCACTACCTTATTACAGAGGTGTTGTGATGATAAAGAGTTGTGGAAATGTCTAAAAGAGATAAGAGACCATCTGAGAAATTCACAGTGCTCCCCAGGAATTAGGAAAAAGCACACAGTACACAAAGGCAAGAATGATTAAGTGTGAGGTCAGCTTATAAATATACCTTTCTCTTTGGAAAAACAGCCAACATTAAACAAAAAAGTCGGATGATACTAAATCTATCCCAGAGATAAAGTTCTTGTTACAGATAATAGTTAAATTTATGTTTTTCTTTTTCCCAAGGTGGATAAGGTCAGAATGGCAGTTTTTCTTGTTTTTGAGTCCTCATCTTAAGGTTGTGGTAGACAGAGAACTTAGAAAACACTAAGGTTTAAGAGTTAAAGTCAAGTCTTTGGATTTAGTTGGACATGGGTTCAAATCCTAGCTCCATTCAAACATTCCTTGAGTGCCACCCATGATTTTAGACATTGAAGATACAATGTTGGACAAGACAATAAGGTCCTTATTTATATGAAGCTTACATTATGGAGGGAGAAGACAGATTATCTAATGATGAAAAGATAACAGAGCAATATGATTGGAAGTAACTGGTAACTCAGAAATGACCTCTCTGTGAATGAACAATTGAAGTGAGATCTGGATGATAAAAAGAAGTCAGAAATTGTTTCTTAAAATCTAGAGAAAGGCACTCCAGGAAGCAGTAACAGCTAGAGCAAAGGCCCTGATACACAAACAGTTTGATGTTTTTAAAGAACAGAATGAACATCTACTTATATGGTTTAAGCAGAGTGAGCAAGAGAAACAGTGAGAACATGAGTTTGAAGAGCATCAACACACATCAGGTCATGTGGGAGCCTTGCAGATATTCAGTTCATCATCATCATCATCACCATCAAGCAGAAGAGAGGGGAAAATAAACTTGGAGAATTTGAGGGTGCTGCATGATACCACCTGAGAAATTTGGATCTGACCAACTGAGCATGGGATTGTCACTGCAAGGTTTGAATGGTGTGCTGAAAATGGAGCCTGAGGTGAATAATTTTGAAAGCAGAGTACAAGGTGGCTATTTGCATCTGTCACTACATTCCTAGCACTTAATTTATCTCAAGTTCTCTGCTACAGCTACTGATTTCTCAATGAGTGCAAATTCATAAGTCACTGGACACCTGCTTTCACACAAGAATATTTCTAGAATCTATTTCTAGCTTCATGTAAAGAATTATATTTTGTGACCAGAATTTCTACCAGTGAGGAGGTATCTAAATCACAGATCACAAACCAGCTACCAAACTGGCTATTTGGTGAGATGTAGACCTGACCTTAGAGGATGCTAACTTAAAATTCGTTTTTATTTCATTTGACTCCTGACACCATCAGTTAAGATCGTTAAGTCACTCTAAATTTACTGGTTAGAAGGAATATGGCTAAGGGCTAGTTTCCTTAGTAAAACATTGCTTCTTGGTTCTTTTTGTTTATTAACTTTTTTCTTTTTCTTAATAGGGAGAAAAGAAGTCTTATGGAAAGCCATGTGGAGGTCAAGACTGCAGTGGAGTCTGCAAATGCTTTCCTGAAAAAGGAGCAAGAGTAAGTTGCTTATTTCATTGTTGAAAGACAAATAGTCACATATAGCTGTTATCTGTTTTCTTTAGAATTAAACTGCTTGGAATTTACTCTTATGACCTCATGAAACAAGCAAAGTGATGAGGACCAGCTGGAAGGAGCTTTGTTAACTAATGATAGGCAGAACTAGACTGGTCAAATTCTCTGAGGGACCAAGAAGAGGTCTTCCTCATTGACTTAATGCCAAGTTTTCCTCAGAGTTCCATATGGAGTATTTCCAAAAGTTAATTGGGTTGTTCAAAGCAAGACTATGATGATGTTTGTAGATTTGTGTAAATTTTTATCACTCATTTATACCCACTTGACTCTTCTCTACCACTCTGGAGAATGGGTGGTTCAATTGTTATTTCCAGACTGGGGATACGACTTGTACAAAATCACCCTGCTTGTAACTGATAGAATCAAGAGTGCAGGATAGCTACGAAGTCCAAAAATATAGGTGACTATGCATGAAAAATTATTTATAGTTATTATATAAAACATAGGCTATCTTTTAAAACATTTTGATATATTCAACATATTGTCTCTCATCGACAATGCACAGTTCAAATTGTACAAATTGCAATGAACACAGTACATTGATACATTGCCATCGATCCTTGTCCTGTATATGCATAGACCCCAGTTGATATGTATCTCTGGTTTTCACTGAATAAATCTGTATCTTTAGTATAACTCAGAAAAAGTATTCAAGTGAGTTGAATCTGTTTACATTTTTTAAAAAACAAAATTTTGCGTACACACAGGTTGAGTATTTCTGAACTGAATCTGAAATCTGAACTGTTCCAAAATCAAAAATTTTATTTTATGAGCACCAATATGAGCACAAAGGAAATGCTCACTGGAGCATTTTTTATTTTGGATCTTTGAATTATGTATTCTCCAGATAGATAGATAGATAAATACATACATACATACATACATAGATGTTTCTAGAATTTATGGCCACACTGTAGAATTCTGATCGTCCAATTTCCAGCATTGTGGCTGCACTGTCGTCACACTCAAACAAGCCTAGCAGCTTACACTGTCAAAGGAAGATAGTAGCATAAATAGGTCAACTAAACCTTCAAAACATAGCCAAACAGGGAACACAGTGACCGTTCCAACTTCTCTTTCATTATCTTACATTTGCAGTAAAGTGAAATGTCAAACTATGCCAGAATTTGAAAGAATATAATAAAAAACCATCTCCTCATCAAAAGATATCTGACTCATTATACATTAAAGACATAGACTTAGAAAATCATAAAATAAGAGAAAAGGAAGTTATCTTAGTGAGCTTTTCATCTTACTCGCTGATTGTACAGAGAACAGACTCAAGCAGGAAAAAGACTTTCCAGGGTCGTACAACAAATTGACGACAGATTCTAGGCTATTCTCTGGGTCCTTTGATTTCTCACCTACTTCATACACTTACCCACTGCTGCCTCCCAGGGAAGCCATGGTAACATAGCCACCGAGGCCTATGCTCTCACCTCTCAAACATTTTAGAAAAAAATAATTCTGCAATAATATATGAATACATACTTAAACAACATGCAAACAATACAAACAAAGCAAAAGCTTCCCTTGATGCTCTCTTAGTACCATTATTGTCTTGTCTTTTTTTTGTACATAATCATAGATATATATATATATATATACATATGTATAAAATAATTTCATTTTCCGGCTTTCTTTTCCAAAATAAAATCATAAGAATATATTCTGGGCCCTTTTAAAAAATGTAATACTCCTTAAGATTGTTTTTTTCTACCCCATAGTTTAAATCAACCATTATCCCTTTTGGTGAGCACTTAGATTGTTTCCTTTTTTTTTTTTTTTTTTTTTTGCTATTTTATAAAATGGCAATGCTACAGTGGAAATCTTTGAGCAGGCCTCCTTATGTTCATCTCTAGTGTAGGTACTAAGGATCAGAGTAATCAGATACAAGGATAATAGAAATTTTAAGCTTTCAAAGCTACTGGTAAATTACCCTACCAAGTATCTTCCAATTTACTCTCTCATCAGCATTGTACGAGAGTGCCCATGTTTCTACATCCTTGCCAACATTTGATATTTTTGTTTATATCGTTAATGAAAAACTGTCCTAATTCCCTGACTACATGTGAGTTTAAGCATCTTTTCACATACTACCTGGAAATTTGTATATGTTCTGTGAGTTTCTTGAATGTATTTTCTAACTACTTTACTAAGTAATGATTCTTATTGACTTAATTTACTTCTGCAAAGACACAGCAAATAAAAAGATCCAAGTAGAAGCTGTTGAAATGTGAGGTTTGACACAAAGTGGCGTTTCCTAATGGGTTGTGGGGAGCTGGAAGCAGTTAACCCAACACAACAACCAGGGAACTAAGAAGACTCTGAACTGTTTGTTAAGTTGAAGAGCCTTTAAAAGTAGAAAATCTTGTATATCTGAACTGAGGACAGTCCTGCACCAGGCAAACATACCTACAATGACCTCATTATTTAACCCCTGACTGAGATGTTGATCTTTGAAGATGGAAGGCAGTAGATTACTGCAGGAAGAGCCTTTGTTTGGGTTCCAAATATCTGGAGTCCTAGTCTAGCTTCTCCTTTAAAAAAAACATCTGAGTGGTTGAAGAGGTGGAGAATGAAAGAAAATAGAATATTACTGCAAGGATATTTTCTTCAATATTTAGAAGACGAAAAGACTCCACACAGTGAAATATATTCCTAAAAATTTGTTTGTGGAGTCCAAATTTTCTAAGAATGCATTGTCAAGGTTATTGAATGAGACCAAACTGTATTTCATGAGTCAACAGCAGGAATGTCATATCTTCCAAACAGATAAGGCATGAGGCAAACTTTGTGAACATGGATGCTTGAAGCCATTTGCACCACCAGGTCCCGTTTAGTCATCCTCTCTTCCCTCCTGCGTTCCCAGGGCCAAGCAGAATTGTTTAAACTGGGCCCAGCACTATTGACCCTGCAGGACAGCCCCTCAGTACCCCTTTGTGCAGATGTCAGAAAGATTTGAGACTGTTTTCCTTAGCTAAGCAGAGGGCCCCATTTAGATTTCAAGCTGTTCCTCTTGAGCTGGGAGGGGAATGGAACGTTGGGTCACCCCTGAGATATGCTGCAGCCCTTGGCAGTCCCACCTTCTGCCCTGGGGAGACATCAAGCGCATAGCTTGCGGGGCAGTGTGTACTTGTCCTTTGCCAAAGGCCTCTTGAACTGACTACGACATTTACACAACACCTAGCACTCCTGCAAAACTGCAGTCCAACTCTTTTTGGCAGAAGCTATTACAAACTGATTTCTCAAAGGTATGCCCTGTCTCTTAAAAGCCCTTGCCTAATGATGGTACACTGCTCTGTACTTTCCAAAACATCTTTTCTCAGGAACTGTGTTATTATTATTATTTTTGAGTTGGAGTCTCACTCTGTCGCCTAGACTGGAGTGCAGTGGCTGCTCCCGGCCACCTCAGCCTCGAGCTGCTGGGCTCCGGCGATCCTTCCGCCTCAGCCTTCCAAGAAGTTGGAACTACAGGCGTGCGCTACCACACCCGGCTAATTTTTTGAGTTATTGTAGAGATGAGGTCTCACCAAGTTGCCCAGGCGGGTCTGGAACCCATGGGCTCAGGCAATTCACTCATCTCAGCCTCCCAAGGCGCGGGGTTACAGGCTGAGCCACCAAGCCCGGCTAGGAACTGTATTATCTGTACGCAACAAATAAAAGAACTGATTAATGACTTGCCCAAGGTCACTAGTCTGCTAGTGGCGAAACCTTATTTAGCCCACTTTAGGAGAATGGCAAGTTAAAAAAAAAAACATGCCTCATAGTGTTAAATAAAGTGTACACACTTCCAGATATTTGGATTTGAAGTTTATAGTTGATTTTCACTTGTCTTACTTGGGGGTTGGTTTTATTAACTGGAAGAACCCTTCTTTTGAGTTGTTCTCTTCCTGGTATTTTTTTTCTCTGTCATTTGTTTGAACAAAACATTTTAGGTTGACATTTCTATCCCTTCTCTTTTTTTCACTACTGGATTTGAAAGACATCTCTATACTATAGTCTATCAGTGTGTATTTGTCTGTAGTTGAGGACAGGAGTAGGGGACTGTTTGTTTTGTTCTGCATCTAGAACTCCTTTATACTATTTCAGAGTTTTCCCTGTTTTAACAGCATTCTCGTGTTTGTATACAACATGGTGAGCTCCTAATTATCCATACCTTCTAAAGGAGCATTATCACAGATAATCCAAAACCACAGGGAATGTTTGGATTCCCCTCTAGGTAAAGGCTGTTTGTCCCCTATTTTATGGCTTGAGAAGCTGTGTCCTAGCTTGAGAGTATATGAGGCTAGCCTGACTATCATGCGAAGCTGAGCCCAGGTTTCTTAATTCCTTTTCTCCTGCGTGCAACCTGCTATTTCTCTGCCCCAAAATATGTTTCCCCAGTGGGGGGGTGGGAATTGGCAGTTAAGGGAAACTGCTAGGGGAGGGGAAGCACACCTCATCAACAAGGGTACCTGCATAATGAACATTTCTATATCTAACCCTGAATTGTACCCCACATCTTTAAAATTAAAAGAATTCTAAAAAGTGTTTCCCCTGAATTCCAGAATCCAGATGCATTAACAACCAGTCCTTCAATTTACTCCACTTTTCTAAACATCTAGTGTTCCCTGTGTCAGCTGACTGGTGCCATGGCTACAAATAGACGTTTCCATTTTCTCCTGAATTAGGCAATTGCAATGTACACCTTTCTCTCCTCCTTGTGTACCTATCCCACATGCCTGCCATGACCAGTCAATACCACACACCAATGTCCTTAATCTCTACTGTTCCAGAGTAAAAACACATATTGCACATGACTTCCTTAGGTGACTGGGCCTTGCTCTAACTGCCTGCACTTAAGATCCATGCCTTCATTGCCCACTCAATTCTCAGCCCTCTGTGGGCTAGCCCTACCACTGACACTAGTCACCACTAACATG